ATACTGGAGTGGTTTGCCCTTTCCTTCTCCAGCTCATTTTACAGATGAGGAAACTGAAGCAAACAGGGTTAAGTGACTTACCTAGGGTCACACAGGTAGTAAGTATCTGAGGCCACATTTGAACTCAGGTCTTCCTGACTCCACTTGCTACTCCATGCTCTCCACTATGCCACCTAGCTGCCAACAAGTTTCTACCGACTGATAATAAATATTGACTGGAGTTAAGCACTTAGTTTGTGTCATATGACGTTGCAAGTAATTATATTGTCTTATGTAGTTCAATATTATTTTACATATCTTCCCAATTAGACAACAGGCTCCTCATGGGAAGGAATCAAAGGAACCCAGATGCCCAAAGAAGGCATTACTGTACTTCATACAGCCTGAGGTCTTTATAATGCGAATTGCCCTGTGCAGTTTTTTTGGCCTACAAAAGCCTCCCTTAAAGTCTTCCTGGTCTCAGAGTGGTATATACAAATGCCTGTGAATGCTTTCTTCTCTTTAAAAAAATGGCATTCTACTAAAGTGTCATCTTCAGAAGGCACAGATCCTTGAGAAATTTGGTTCTTTGTCCTTTGGTGGCCAATATCTCTAGGGTATGAGTAAGAGAATGAAACCGTCTGCAGGATATGATCTAGTCACTCGTGAGTTAATTCTGTGTCATCAGTAGGTTGAGGATTTCTTTTTTTTTTTTCCTGCGGAACTTACCATGTGTTTTTCCTCCCCTAAAAAAAAAAACACTCAACCAACTGGGTGATGACTCAGCTGAAAAGCCTCTGTCTGCCAAAGAAGCAAAACCATCATTGGCCGGCACCGCTGGGCATTGAAGTCAGCTTCTCCCTGTTTGCCCAGAGTGCCTTGGGCATAGCCTCGTGTTCTGTCTACTCTGCCCCCTCTCACCTCCTTAGACACTCCAAACTGGGAGTGTAGTGAATAGTTTCTGGTTTCTGGACTAGGCCAATGAACAGGTCAAAGAGAAGCCTTGGGGTTTTTAGTATTTAGATTGTTTTTAAGGGGAGGGGGAACACACAGAAAACCAACCAGAGGTGGTGGCCATTGAATGCAGTGACTCAGGCAAAGCTGAGGTTTCTGAACTCAATCTTCCCAATAGCAAGACTGTTCAAAGAGTAAAATCTCTGCTGAAAGCACAAAAATCCACAAGTGGTGGTAAGACTCAGGAGATGACTAAGACAGTAAAAGCAAATTAACTTTGAAAGTAACTCAAAGTATATTCCTCACATCAAGCTACTTTTTAAAGTAAAAAAAAAAATAGAGTTAAAACCACTAGTTCCAGGGGTGGGTTAAAATCCCACTTCTGCCATGTGTAGCTTTGGATAAGACCCTTGACCTTCTTGGGCCTCAGTTTCCTTATTTGTAAATTAAGAGGGTGAGAGAAGGGAAGGAGAGAGGGAGGGATAGAATTTGGAATTTAAAACTTTAAAAAATGTTTTAAAATGTTTTAATATGTCATTGGGGGAAAATAAAATAAATGTTGAGAGAGAGAAAAAAATAATGCTAATAATAGCTAACATTTACATAGCGATTACTATGTTGCAGACACTGTGTTAAACACTTTTCAATTATTAGCACATTTTATCCTCACAACAACCCTGGGAAGTAGGTACTATTACTATCCCCATTTTAAAGATGAGGAAACTGAGGTAAACAGGCTGAGTAACTTGCCCACGGGTCACTTGGCTACTAAGTATCTTGAGGCTAGATTTGAACTCAGGTCTTCCTGACTCCAGGCTGGTCCGATGAGGAACCTAGGCCAGATGGCCTCTGAGGTCCCTTCCAGCCCTAGGGCTGTGAGCCTGTGACTGACAGAGTTAGCTGAGCACTCTGCCTCAGCTTTAAGGACGCAAGTTCCTAAGGTGAGTGAAGAAAATGGATCACTAGCCACTGCTTTGAAAATAACCTTGGATAATCCTTTCAAACCAGGGAATAGTTCACAGCTCACAAAGTAGTTGCTGGATTCAATCCTGTAGATGGAACATGAGGAAACTGTCGAGAAAACATGATCTGAGCTTCTTCTCAGCTAGAAAGGCTTTTTTTTTTGAACTATTAACTTCTTACTCATTCCTCTCTTATCCCCCTTCCTCCCCCTCACGCACACACCCTTGTAGCTTTGGTGTTGGGCTGTGTCCTATCATCTGAAGGACAGTTCAGGCAACGGCATGGGTTCCAAGTTTTATTTTCAGAAGCATCAATGCTATAAGTACTGAAAACCAGACTCAGCCTGTAACATGCACACAAAAGGGAAAGACAGAAGAAGCTGATTTCCTTTGATTTGAAGTGCCTTCCAAGCTTCCTTGAAACAGAGATGAAACCCAGAGAGAAAGAAGGAGGTGGGGAGAGAGGGAAAAGGTGGGCAGAGAGGGAGATGGAGGCGAGAGAAAGAAAAGAGAGAGACAAGAAGAAAAGAGAAGGAAAAGGGGGAAAGGGAGGGAGAAAGGGAAAGAGAGAAAAAAGCAGAAAGAGGGAAAGAGAAGGAAAGAGGGGAAGGGAGAGTGAGGCAGATAAATACAGGAGAGGAAAGGGAGGAAGGAGGGAGGGGGAGAGAGAAAAGGAAGGAGGGAGGAAAGGAAGGAGAAAGAGAGAGAGAGAGAGAGAGAGAGAGAGAGAGAGAGAGAGAGAGAGAGAGAGAGAGAGAGAGAAACACCTTCCAGGACTTCAATTACAATAAATTATTCCTTTCATAATGAAGTAAAAAAAAATGGGGGTAGAGCCAGTTTCTTCTGAATGTAAATGGTCAGCCAAAAGAATAGAAACTGAAAAAAGGAAGGTTTGAAAGAAACAGATGTGCCTCCCCAAATGATAAAGATGAGAATACAAAAATGCACAGCAGAGGAAAGAGAAAAAGAGGGAAAGGGTGGGGATGGAACTTGAAAGGAATGAAGGATGTAATCAAATGTCTGTTGCCAGGAATTTGAAACAACCCTATCTGATCCCTTCCTGCCCAAATGGGTACCCAAGGAAAATAATATACTCCAGTATGACCTTCTTCTGACCTCCCTGTACTTCTAGGTTCCATCAAACATGATCTGGGTTAGGGCAGTGGAGGGGGAATGGGGAGAGAGAAGTAGAAAAAGGAAGACGACTAGAAAGCCTAGTAAATGGAAGATGAGTCACAATTTATGCTCTCCCATTGAACAGGTAACAGGGGCAAATCCCTCCTGCATCTTCCCCGGTTCTCAGCAGAATCGCAAAATCAGAGAATGCCCCCTCCTACCGGGGTAGGAGGAGCAGAGGGAGAAGTAAAGCCTTGAGGGCTCCCAATGCCAACATCATCCAGAAATCCTTGTGGACCATGTTCCTTCTGAGCAGGGAAAGCTTCCTGGAGCAGCACAAGAACTTGCTTATGTAACCTTTCACGCCACCCAGTTCTTTTGTGCCATGCTTATTAGCTCCCAGATTTTTCCTTAAGGAACTTGTGATTTCCCCCTATACCACTGATGCATAAACATAAGAGATTTCACTGAGAGCTCTGCTGTGAGAGTAGAGGCAGAGGTGATTACTCAAATTTTTCTGAGCTCCACCAGCCCCAAGCTCAGGTCTTTCTGAACTCCTGTGCCCTGCCCACTCTCATCTCGTGAACTCTCAGCCAAAAAAACAAAGGCATTGGCTGCTTTGGTTGGAGGCTCCTACAGACTATTCTGCAGAGCTGACAGTGAATAATAAACCTGTAAGTTGATGTGGAAAGATCCCTGCATAGGTGAATTTCACTGAAGCAAAGAATTGAATGAGTTATCCTGAGTCATCTTTAGGGTCAAGGGTGAAGCTGGGATTAGAAACTGGTTCTCCTGATATTAAATCACAGGAGACAGCCAGCAAGCCATCCTACCCCTCCAGTCCTTAGCAAAGAGTAAGTCTTGTTAGGAAAAACATTCATGGCAGATACAAAATAGCCACAGGCAAAGTGAGACAATAATTCACTGAATTACACAATATATCCTCCATGCTTCAAGGGTGGCCCCTTCACCCGTTCAGAGAATAAGGTATTATTATGGGACTTCAGTGAAATCTCTACCAATAGCGTAACCCATGTGGCTTCCTTCCATTTATTCATCTATGGATTCCCTTCTAATAAATTTTAAAACATGCCCTCATTACTAGGCACATAGTAGGGGCTCAAAAAAAGGCTTGGTTAATTAATCTACTTAACATGAAATTTTTCCTAAAAAAAAAAAAGAGTTCCTCTTTGCTAAGAACTGGAAACTCTAGATGCCTCATGTGATGGAAAGTCAGGAGACTTAGTTTCTAATTCCAGCTCTCTGAAGGCAATGAATGTTTTCTTCTTAACTTTGTATCTGACCACCTTAAATAAGCCTCCAAGCCAGTAGGTGCTTTAGTTTTTATTTTTTTAGTAGGTGCATAAATGTTTATTGAATCTATTTGAATACCTGTTTGTTTGTTTTTTTTAAACTTGATATTCAGATCCCAACCATGATTATACATTTTTTTTAACAGAACATTATCTTTTCAGTCCAAACATGGAAATATGGCAAGACAGGGTCCCTCAAAGAAACCATAGGCCTGTTTTTGTCCTGAACTTCCTAAAAACCAATTCCACAGACCCCGAAACTGATGCTGAATGTCTAGAACACTTACAGAAGCTGATGGATGACTTCTGACAATGTACCTTTTTGCCTTCTAGGCCCCACCCCCAAAGCATGAGTAGGAGAAAGGTCAACTTTATAAATCAAATGGAATAGTCACATATGGGTAACATAGCAATGTCTATGGATAGGCTCTCATTTTTTTTTTGTCTCTGTACCCAAGAAGGCACACACCACCATGCCATTGGGTTAACTAGGCCTTTCTTACTCTGAAAGATAATGGCCTAAGGAGACACGCTCTGGAACCAAGGCTTGCCGTGGAGAATCAGGTTTCAGGAGTTATTGATCTCTTATGTAATGGGATTCAGGTGGTGGTGACAGTGATGTTGGTAAGAAGGGGGATGCTCTGGTTACTAAAAGGGAACAATGAGGGGCACTTACTTGCAGTCATGTTTCTCGATCTCAAAGTGAGGGTTGAAGTTGAGGACAATCTTCTGGTTGGGTTCTGGAGCATAAACGATCCACTCACAGTTCTGGTGGGAGGGGTAGTCCTGGGGATAGCCAGGGGAGGTGATATAGCCAGCATCTTTGGAATTCAATCGACCACCACAAGGTAGGCCTGAAAAGGAAGGCAAGCAACACCAAGAACTTCAAATAGGTTCTTTTTATTTCTCTCCCTTTCTCCTTTTTCCTAGCGGCTGATTAAAAACTATTTTACAGACCTTTTATGGCAGTGCACAGGGCTGACCCACTTACTCATTCAGTGGGCAAAACTATTACAGATCATCCCGCCTTCCTCCACCAGCTATGCATATACACCCACACCAAATGAAAACGTGCCAGGAAAGGGTCATAAATATTCCAATTAGCCAACTTCAGATAACAGAAAGGGGGGCATAAACTTAAGCGCTCCCCTTTTTCATATCTGGCTTTGTTGGCCCCTTTCCTTTAGCTCATCCAAGTGGCTCACATCACTTTTTAACTCACAAATCCTTCATTTTCTCCAGCTTGGCACCAACCCACCCCACCGGTGTGAATTAAAGGCTCCAGCTCATAATTGACCATCGTGGTTTTGAAGAGCTGTCCCACAAACAGCCTGGTAACAATTATAGCTAGGCAAGGAAGCACTTTCTAGCTCTGGGTTTAAGCAGACCCTTCCCTGGAGGGTGATTTCAGCTTCTTCTTCTTCTTTTTTTGAAATAAGGAGGAAAAAAAAATCTCCCCCAAACATTTAATCTCAAATACACCACAAATTTGATTTGTTATTTCATTACCCACCAAGAAGGAAAAAAAAACCCTCTACATCAGAGATTCCTTTCACATTCAGAATTTCCACAAAGGTGCTTTGAGCTCATTTGATTTCCCACTTTTTTCCCTCCTACTGTCCCTCCCAACCTGGTCACCACAAGAGAGTGCTACTGCTACATTTGGTTTCAGCCAACCGCTTGAAAGACAGCCGAGGCTCAGTCAGCTGACCATTATTTCTCCTCCTTTCCCTGGCTGCTCACTGATGGAGATGAACGGTTTCATAGGGGATGACAGAATGGGGAGTGGGGAATCTTCAAAGGAAGAAGAGGGGGATGATGGGAGAGGACTTCTGTGCTACCTCAGCCCAGTTGGGTTGGTGACGTTTGGGAAATATAATAACTGGGAATGAAATCCCACGGCATCTGGGGGTTTCCCAGGAAACATGGGGTTTTCATTTAATATCCACAGTAGAACACGAAGAAGACAGAAAGTATGAGAACCATAGCAATAGTAAGAGGTCTCTTGGAGATTTTCCTGAGGTTTTTTTTTTTTGCTTCTCTTAGCATCAATCATGCTTTAATATTGCCATCTGCATGAACCAGCGTGGTCCTGTGAATTATGTATTATGCCTCAGTAGTCACCCAACAGGGCAGGATCTTTCTCTCGTGTTCCCTCTTTCAGGGAGAGGGTCATGCATTTTTAACTCTACAGGTGCAGTTTACTATTCCCCATGTCTGTCGGTATTACCGTCTTCCATACCTCTGCTTCAGATTATCAGCCTGACAGGGCTTAATGCATAAAAGATGGGGTGCAAGGCATAGCTGTGCTTGGGACACAAAGCCAGACAAGTAGCCTTTTAACCAGTTCACCTTGAGGGGTTCCAGTGTGAGAGGAACACAGAGTGAGATCTTGAAATCTAATGGAATCTGGTGCCATTTCCTCCTGGGCAGGAAAACAAAAGCAGACCATTTCCTCTGAGCTAGCAGGGACACACCATCCTCTACCTAAGGACTAGGCCCAAGAACACAAAGGCGTGACCCCTTGAAGAGAGGCACAGATGAGACCATAAATGATCAATGGCTTGAAAGGAGCTCATTCTTCTGCAACCAACTCCTTGGGGGTGTTCCAGGCGCCATAAACCATACTCTCAAGCAGAGCACCCAGAATAATTCAGAGTACTAAGACAGACTGTGTCCCATTGCCGCTGCCTAATGAATGGGAAGGAACCAGAAGGAGGAATGAGGCTGCTCCTTTGGGAAAGGCTTAGGTGTGGGAACACGGAGCACCAGCTGCTCAGTGAGTGGGGGAGAAGAGATCTTTTTCTGGTGTATACTGTCCCTTTGCCAGCTACTTCACAGGAACAATAGCCCTGCCATCCACCCACCCCAAACCACAGTCCTGGCCAGGACGCTGACTGGGGCTCCTGTTTAGAAACCATTGTTATTGTTATCTACAGCGCACCCTCTACTTGTTTCACTCCACTTAAGAGATGCCTCCTTGAATTTATAGAGCATTTTGTAAAGTTCTTTGCTTATAACTGTGGGAGTACAAGCATTATCTCACCCATTCATTCACAGATGAAGAAACAAGACCAGAGAGTTCAAGGGACTCACCTATAGTTGCACAGCTGATATGTGGCAGAGCTTGGATTTCAACCCAGGCCTCCTGACTAAGACAGGCTTCATAGATTAATGACAAGAGGGCCAGTCTTAAGTTAGAGGCCCTGGGTTCAAATCCTAACTCACCATGGGGCAAGTCATCAAATGCTTGTGGTCTGCTAGAGCCAGCTCATACTTGTTAAAATTTCAGTGTATTTATTTACATCTCGGATATCGTGCTATAAATCAGGGTTTGATTCAGTTTTGTTACCTAGACTTAAGAAAGTGATGGAGAGCATTTTAATAATTCAGATCAAACTTAAAAGTGTGTCCTGCATATATTTTTTTTCCCGAAAGCCACTGTAAAGCATTGCCAGCACACTGTCAATATCTGTGATCCCTTGAACTCTTCTCCTCCGTTCCAGAGATCTTTCTAATGCTGTTCAGTCATTTTTCAGTTGTGTCTGATCTTCATGAGCCCATCTGGAGGGTTTTTTTTTTTGGCAGAGATACTAAAGTGGTTTGCTATTTCCTTCTCCTTTTCATTTTACAAATGAGGAAACTGAGACAAACAGGGTTAAATGACTTGCCCTGGGTCACCCATCTAAAGCCAGATTTGAACTCAGGAAGATGAGTCTTCCTGACTCCAGGCCCGACACTATGTACAGTGCCACCTGTGTGGCCCATCTTTTTATTACATCTCTTTTATTAGGTAAATATCATGGAGTATTGAGGCAGTGTGGGGTGAGAGTGGTGTTGGACTTGAGAGTCAGGAAGACCTGCTTTCAAACCCTGTCTCAGATACTTCCTATCTGTATGACTGTGAACAAATCACTTAACCTCAATTTCCTGTCTGTAAAATTTGGGGGTTAGAATTGATAATCCTTAAATTCCCTTCCAGCTTTAAACCTAGGCTCTGCTATCCCACCAAGTACAAGACTTTTCATCAGGAATATAGTGATTAGAATAAAACTCAGTTTCTTTCCCTTGGGGAGTTTCCAGATTATTGGGGGGGAAGGGGGTTGATAGGAGGGTGTATAAAACGTATGCACAGTTATTTATAATAGAAGTCAGAATGAAAAAATGATCAAGCAGTGCAGTAGGAGAGATTTGGTGGAGTGGAGATGGAGATCATTTCTAGGTAGGGGTAGGCGGTTTAGGGAACATTTCCTTTAGAGAAGAGTGACCATTCAAAGTCCATTCCTCTCTATTTCCTCTCTCCTCCCAAACACTCTGGGAGAACATCTTTCTCTCCCATGGGCCATGCACACAGAAAAGTTAGCTATAATGACAGGAAACTTCCTCATACGAAGTTTTTATTTCTCATCCACACTGGGGAGCAATCATTTCCTCGGCTTCAGATTTGGCCACCAAAAATGGAACTATTTTTATCCTGAGGCAGGAATACAGCATTTTCTGTTGTTTCCCAGAAACTCATTGCGCAACCCAAACAGGAGAAGCAACCAGCCTTTTTCTGCCTTTATTTTATCTGAATGAAAGACTCTCATAAAATATCTGAGAATTTAAAAACATCTGTTTTAGTTCCATGGGGTGAGCTTACTCAACACACAAACATTTATAAATGCAGATTTTTGTTTGGATATCTCTCTCTGAAATACACACACACACACACACACACACACACGCACACACAAATAGAGATATTGAACATACATTAGTTACATATACATATTAGTAATTCACACTTCACTCTTGTACACACTTTCACACCCTCACATAAAATATCACACATCATTTGCACAGACAACCATCCCATAAAGATAAATATTGGAGTTTCAGCCTGTATTTTTCTTGGAAAGAGATGGACTCTTGAAATACAGAAGTAAAGACTGGAAAGAAAACATACTCAATCCCTTTCCACCTCCCATGTTCTCATTTAGAATCCATACCACCCTTCCCACTTTCAGGTACTTTGCTCCTAAAATGCATATAGAGCCACAACAGACTCTTGAAGCAATCTCTTTGTAGCTTCCATCACTTTTCAAAATGGCCCATGTATATGAGAAATGTCAAAGCAAGGAATTACAGAGTTCAGTCCAAAATCCCTTGGGTTAGCCACTCTCCATAGGCAAACTATCTCCATTCCAAAGTCATGGAGTGGCTGCAATGTGAACTACTCAACCTTTGTCAGTTAGACAAGAGATTTCATTCCACAACCATCCAGTGAGTACTTTTCATCTAAGACAAATTCATTTCCCCAAAGGGGAGTGGCAAAATCCTGGATTAACCAAAGAAGGAGTTGTATTTACCTGAAGGTGGTAGGCTGGACCAAGTAACTCTCAAAGATTTAATCAATCCCATGATTCCATGCTAATATCACCATGCTTATGAGAAGTATAATTAAGCTAATTTAGGAGCAAAATCAAGGCATTAATTGGTTTCCTGTTCAAGTCAAGACTTGGATATCAGGTAGGGTTGGAGGCAGGCTGGGGTAATGGAGATGATTAAAAAACAAGCACACCATCTTTGCTTCCCACAACCCTTCTATCACTGGGCCAATTAACTTTTCTGGGCCTCATTTTTTTCATCTGTAAAAGACATTTTTGGACTAGAGGATTTCAACAGTCTCCTCCAGTTCTAAATCTATGATATTTTAAAACCTTTCAAGAGACATATTATCATGTTTTTGTTTGTTTGTTGATTAATAGAGCAAAGGGCCATATCTAAAATGTTACAGAACACCCATAGTAGGGTATGGTTTGGTCAAAACAACAGTAGTTTCTGGACCTAGAACTGCCACTAATTAGTTGTG